ATACCGGTTGGATTTAAATATCTGCGCCGAGTTATATAGCTTGATGAAGCGCCAGGATCTGAAATTTTGCTAACTTCATCTGGATTGTCATTTTTTTGTGATGCGCATTTGATAGGAATAATTACAAAAATAATTAGTAATAAATTAATAAATAACAAATAAATATATGTTTTCATGTATAAAATCAACTGGAATGGGTAGCTGAAATAAAAAGATAAAACTATGTTTGTTCAGCTGATAAATTATTTACATACTCATTATTATTAAAGAATAGGTAATTAAAAAATTAAAAATATGTTATTAATAACTAGTTAGGAAATAGATTAGGTCTCGGAGATTAATTATTTAAACGATCACTTTTGCAAACATTTAAAATTACAAACGTAATGTGCCCTTGTTCAATACCTTCTATAACATTACCAAGTAAATCATATTCAAAACATATTGATTATCAAATGATTGACAGAACATTCATCAAGGAATTATCTGGTTATTGTTAGGGGTCTACTCCGCGCATAATCTCGTTTATTTTATAATATTATTGCTATCTTGATAAAGCACTGTTTGTAATTCAAGTATACTTTCTTAGTATCCGACACAACGAAAGGCCGATACTTGACACATATCAAAACTTTAATTAATCAAAACAATCTAAACAATATGTATGTTTGGAAATCCATCGGCTTTCTCCCTGCTAGCAAAATTAAACAATTACAGCTATTATAAGAAGCAAGTCAACAAAAAATTTCAACTAGAGAATAACTTAACAACTTGTATTAATGTTAATTAAAAGCTATAAATAATAGATTGTGAAAGCCTGGCATACATATACATAAATAAATTTTCAAAATAAATTTTAAACAAGGGCAATAATTTATTTACCCGCTCCTCTCACAAGATAAATAAAAATTAATCAATGGATTGAGAGGAAAATAAAATTCACGTGCTTTTGCTAATTTCAAAATTATTAATTAATTTAAACATAAAATAGTTAAATAAACATCCAACAAAAGTTCTAAAAAAAATCAGAGTTATAGATCTAAAATAACATAGCAAAGTAAATTTGTTGAAATTTATTTAAATTTAGAAAACTATACCCTCTACATAATTAAATTGGATAATTTCTGTTTCAGCCTCTCGCTAGAGTTGTAATTAAATGCGAGAGGCAATTATTTATATCTGAGAGAGGGTAATTACCTATTCGAGAAAATACGGTACGATATGCATGCACTATAAGATCACCTACAATACCTAAAATTATTTTTTAAAGCCTTCACCTCCGTTAATTTATATGAATCTAAAATATTAAGATAAGATTTATACAATTTTTATTTGTTCGTTTTTATCAGGTTAAAGATATAATATTTGAGAAGATAAATAAAAATAATAATCACAGTAAATAATGAAAAAGTCGGGCAATTTTAAATAATGATATGATATAGGTATATCTATGTTGCTAAAAAATATGGACATAATGACAAAAAAATTTTTGAGTGTTTTATAATAAAAAAATTTCCGATAAGATTTTGATAACAATTTTACTAATCAACGATGTCAGTAAACTTCCATATTTGGAATTTATAATTTAGGAATTTAAAATAATTTTTTGTGTTTTATATATTCTTAAACAGTAAAATAATAGTCTATGTTAAATTATTGTTTGTCTGGTTCTTCAATTAAAATAGATTTTCCTTTATCTGCTTTTGCCTTACCTATATCTTTAATTTTATAGTTATTAATCAAAAGTTATTAATCAAAATTTAATTAAAGTTATAATTTAATTAAATTAATTAATTTAATTTATTAATTTAATTAAAGTTATACATACTATAAATTCTGTTAGGAAATGTGCTCTACCTCCTTCTCTAACAACTCTACCAAGTAATTTGCTCTACCAATTACCATGACATCTACTCACCCTTTCTTTTGAAATTTCTTAACTCAAAGGTTTTTAATGGCATAAGCCTTGTCTAAACCCGACTACGAACCCCGACCTTTTTAACCCTTATTCCAAAATTCTCAACTCAAAACATTAGCAATTTTTAGTTGACCCCGATATCAAATAGGGATTCTAGTCATCTAGTCTAATTATTCATACTTAGTATTCACTCCTTACTTTTTATCAATAATTCCTTTTTCATTAAATTAAGCTATGTTCAAATTTGAAATTTTCTTTTAAAATAAATAGGCTTACCCTCAGTTTTGTTTTTATCTAATTCGTTATTAGCTTTAACATTTCTAGATAACGCATGAACATATGTAAAAGTACGAAAACAGTTTTTAATTAAATAACTAAAATTCGTTCTAAAACATTCTACTACATCTTTTGCATATTTTTTCCTTTCTTCTTTGACCTCTAAATTTTCTTCTGCTTCATTTTTCTTATCAGATATTTCAATTAAAATATTTGAAATTACATCTTGTAATAGTTCTATTGTATTATCAATAATTTCGGGAAATTCAGAACGCCCTTCATTCATATATGTATCAACAATATCATATAAACTTTCATTTTCTATTTCTATTGATGGCATGCTTAAATAAATAAAATTATAAAAAATATTATTTTAGAGTATGAGTCAGTGTTGACGCTATACGAGATTCACGAGATACGAGCTTCTCAATAAAGATACGAGAACGAGATAAAACGAGATCACACCTGGTGTGAGTACCGGCGGCTCTACCATATTTAATAATGGACTGGATCATAAATTTAAATTATTTTTTCTAGCAAATCGTAATTTATTTATGTAATCTAATTAAACCAAATTAATTTAGTTTTTAAATTTCACAAACATTTTTTCATGTCTTTAAGATAACTGGGTATTAGTCATTGTTGACGCTAGTCCCAAAAATACAAGACACGAGATACGAGATTCTCAATAAAAATACGAGAACGAGATATGAGACTAACGCGTTCCGGCGGCTTTTATAATAATATTTAATACTGGACTGGATTATAAATTTAAATTATTTTTTGTACTAAACTCAGCATTTATTTATAATGGAATGTATGTAAAGAAATTTTAATTAAACCAAATTAGTTAAGTAAAGTAGCTGGGCTATTTCTCTAGTGCAAAAGGTTAATCGGCGGCTGGGAGCGAACCAGCATCTTCAGTAGACCGGACTGATGTGTTAGCCATTACACCACGCCGCCTACTGCACAGCTTTAGGAAATTAACAGCTATATGCTTTACAATTAATTAGTTTTTAAATTTCACAAACATTTCTTCATAAAGAATAACTAAAATTGATGGGCCAAATATTGTTAAACGATTATCTACAAGCTTTTGTTTCTGAATAATTTCATTAAATAAAATTGAATATTGAAAAAAATTATAAATATTAACAGCAAGATCGTGTAAAGTGACATGTTCTATTTTGTCCATATTAAAATATAGTATATTCATGGTATATAATGAGGTTTTATTTTTAAATATTGATTCATCTAAAAATAAATTTCGAAATTTATTTAAATATTTTAAAAAAGTTTAGACAGATCAGATTTTTCCTATAAATGTACCTTTATTCCTATTATTGCCTATTTTTACTATCCTGTCCTGAAATTTTGCCATTTAACTATAAATATTTCCTTAAATTAATCATTTAGTATGGGGAATCCGGGTACACCCCCACTTTACCGCGGACCTATTATACCGCCGAGCTATAATCTCGTTCAAAATTGTTAAATCCGGGAGGCCCTGGTATGTTTCGATGCGCCTCAACGAGCTGAATCGAACTATACCAGGGCCTCCCAGATTCGACAATTTGAAACGAAGTTATAGCTCGGCGGTGGCCTGCTGCAGAGGAATCCGGAGATTTTCTGTTCCGATATCGCACCCGGATCATGATATCCGTTGAATTAAATTAATTTTAATTAATTTATATTACTTATTGCATATTCAACTGATAAATTTTCGCCTTCCTTTTGTTTCAAATCTAAAACAAAATATAAAGATGTTTCCAAATCTTCTTCTATAATATTAAAGACATTATTTCCTTTACTTCGATAAAATTCCAAAAATTTATGCCCAAGCTTAAATAATTCTTCATTATTTTCAACTAGTGGTTGATATTTCATAGAAATTGAATAAAGATTATCTTCAAATTTTTTAACAAAATTATTATCATAACGCCAATTTGTAATCATTTCGAATGATATGTCGAATAACAAAAAATAATATTTAATCAGTTCAAAAAAGGATATAATAGACTTTTCAATTCCATAGTAATCCTCTAAATTAATTTTTTTATTTAACAGAATTTTGTCCAAAACATATAATGCTGATATATATACTCTATTTATATGTATAATTGCAGATCTTTCAGGGACTACTTTTTTAGACTTATGTTGATTTAATAATTGTTCATTTTTTGTAAATAGTTCGCTTATTTTCTGGATATCTATTGCATTATCCCAAAATTCACTTTTGTTAGCCTTTCTAGCTTCTTTTTCAGCTTTTATATTTTGTTGATCCATCTCTTCAAGCTGACGATTTTTTTCTTTTATAGCGTCATCTAAAAACTTCATATCTTCCAAATCTTTCTGCTTATTTTTCTTTTTATTATTATCTTGTTCGTTTATTTTTAACTTTCCTTTATTCTTCTTTTTCTTTCTTTTATCAGCTTTTTTATTATCAACAGATATTGTTTCATTTGAAGTTTCAGCTTCATGTACTAACTAAAAATTTTAATAATGACAGCTGTAAGAAAAACTCAAATGGTCAATTGATCTTTAGGCTGGACTTGAGATTAACGCAGGAAAGGCCCGCGCGCTATTAGTCTTTTACACTTTAATATAAAAAAATTTTAATATTTTGTGAGTATTTTTTCATTAGACTTTTGACAGCATTTACATATATTATGTTTATCTCTTTCGGCAACGAAATAATAAGAACGTTGATGTGTTTATTTGGTGAATCTAAGTGCTCTGACCACGCAAACGCTTTCTATTGCCCCAACAAGATCCACATTATGCATTTAATTATTATTACAAATATTCATACCTTTAAATCCTCTAATTGTGTTAGTGGCAAATTATCATCAGTAATCTTTAGTTTATTTAAATATTGTTTTTCCAAATTGTTATCACTTTCAAAAATCCTAGATTCCTTATTTTTATCTTCTATATTTTCATCTATATCAGAAATTATTTTTATATTTTGTTTTTTGCCCTTTTTCTTCTTTTTACTTGACGATTCCTGCCATTCTTCTTTTTTATAATCGAGAACTAATTTTTGTTGATCATCTTCAATCTAAAATAATTACTATAATGAAAACTAATATTAACGGAAACCTTCGGGTTCTCTATTAAATTTTTTTCTACCAACTCCATCTTTAAATTTGTAGTTTCTTTATCAATATTCTCTGCAGGTTCTTCAATTTTTAAATCCTTATTTTTTTGTTTACCTTTTCTCTTTTTGGATTTTTTATTTTCTGTTTGGGACTCAACTATATCAACTTTTTCGACATTATCCTTTATGGTTTCACTATTATTTAATGATAAATCTTCTGAAGTATCATCAGGCTTGTTATCCTCAAATTCCATATCAAAAAGAACACCATCCTTTATTCCTTTTATCTTTTCACTTAACAAGTTTAACAATCGGAAGTCACTATTTTCTTCAATAAATTTATATGACGTTCTATAATATTTTAGTAAATTAACTATATGTCTTGGAAAATTATTCCCTGTGTATTTCTTTATCTCCTCCACATATTCAAGGAAATATGGTATCTTTCGGCAATTATGAACAATTTCTGGCGATCCATCAGGAACGAATTTCCTTGTTTCTTCTGAAAATTAATATAAACGAATTTTAGGTCAACGGCCTGATTTTGTCGAATGGCGAATTTTAATATGTAAAAAATTTGATTTTTTAAAAATTTTTAAACAAATTTAGATATTTTTTATGGTGACTCAGTGAGTCAGGTTCATTTTGAAGTTCATTCATTTGCAGTGCTGGGTATTTGCCATTTGTTGGCTCTGGCTCCGGGCTCCGGGCTCCGCGCTTTCAAATTCTTGGCTCCGGCTCCGGGGTTTCAAAATCTTGGCTCCGGCTCCAGCTCCGGAGCCAGCGATTTTCGGAACCGCTCCATGTTGGCTCCGGGCTACCATTTTTGCTTACTTCTTTTTCTCTAACCCATCTTTAGGGGTGTATAGCCGGAGCCGTGGGGAATTGGAAAACCTTGGCTCCGGCTCCGGGCACTTCAAATTCTTGGCTCCGGCTACAGCTCCGGCTTCGGGGTTTCCAAAATCTTAGCTCTGGCTCGCCCGGAGCCGGCTCCAGAGCTAGCTCCCGGAGCCATACCAAGCACTGTTCATTTGTATTGTTTTTACATCATTGAGAGTTATATTTTGAGAGAATAAAGGCTCTGTGTATTAGGATAGATTATTCTTAGTTTGGTTGCTTCTTAGAACCTTGCCTTCAAAATAGAGCAAAAAGATCTCGATCTAAAACATACCATCTTTTACGTCAAATAACTCATTTAAATTCGTATTCGTCATTACATAAGACTCCAACCAATACTTCCATTTAGAATTATCAAATATTTTAAGGATAACAATTTTGAACAAATGTGTAGGTACATAAATTTCTTTAGACCCAACAACCTAATATTTAAAATATAATTTACTATCTTATATTATAGTACAATAAATTACTTGAAATTCCATTAAATTTTTCTTTTGATTTGGCAAAAATAATGGTCCAGTATAAATAAATGTTTCTTCTGCTCCTTTTGCCATACAACTTAAAAAAATTTAATACACCATTTTTAAAATTAAAACGATATACCGTATTTATTCTAATATAACGACAGTCTCTAATAATATGAAACCTAGAAGAGGGTTGAAAAATAAAACAACATGTCGTTATATTAAAATAAATATGATATGTACTATCTAAGCATATGTTATGAATCTACTCTTCATTATAAAGAAAGAGTTTTGCAAAAGTTTAGCCACCGGGCAGGATTCGAACCTGCGACTCCCGCTTTCGCTCGATATATGCAGGAGCTCTACCTCTGAGCTACCGGGGCATCGACTAATGCTTTCTCTTTTTCCTTTTTAGATCGTTTAACCCCCGCCTAAGCGTTTTAAATGCTGCTGGGTGAATCATCCTTACAATAATACCAGCTAGGGGATCTCTCTAGTGGATACGCCAAAGTGAGATCCTACTGTAGTTATTCTTATACATTTAAAGGCAATCAGGGCTCTAAATTATTATACTAAACCAAAATTAGTACTATTTACCTAATGTATTCTTCAATAACCCTCCAATGTCCACTGTTAACTTCATTGTGTTGTGGCACTGAATTTGTAAGGTAAAAGCCTTGCTCGTGTGGATGAAAATTTCCCGTTGCTAGATGGCCATGATTATATATAGAATTCTTAATTTACAAAATTTATGGGGAAAATATTTGATTAAACCGGATGACACTCATAATCATTATATTTTGGCTGGAATATTTCAGAAAAATTTGGATCAGCTGACCACCAAAATTTTTGTGCTGTTAAATTATTCATACTTTCCTTCGTTAAATATTCCAAAACCCAATTTGGTATTCTCTTCCTTCTATTAAAGTTTATGATAAAATCCTTAAAATTTTTTTTATTAATTATGGAAGTTGGATTTTTTCGGAAAGCTTCTCCCCTTCTTTCTGACAATTTCACTCTAGGACATTCTTGGTTTTTATAACTTGTCTCTCATCCTGGGGTCTTTTAGTAATTGAAAATTCCTTCTAAGAAATTCCTGTTTTAAGGAAGATTCCTCTCAAACACAGAAGCAAGGAATGAAACAAAAATTATCAAAAAAACCACGATTAATAAATCATTAAAAATTAAATTTAAGCAACCTTATATATTCGAATATTTGATTTTCTATATTTTTCTCTATTTGCCTCCTTTATATCGCTTAATTTGATATTTTTAAATTTTTTTGAAAATGATGGAGGATATAATTCATTTTTATATCTTTTAAACTTATTTTTGGAGGTTGGATCTGCTGCTTTAAACAATTTGCTATTATCACAAATATCTATAATTTATTTAGATTTTATAAAAACTTAGAAACTTTATATTAGAGCTGTTCAAGACTAAAAATCCCGGTCTGTTTCCCGGTTTTTTGAATCCCGATTTACCAATCCCGATACCGCCAGCCAATCCCGATCTGCCAATAACGCTATGAATTACCGAGAAGATAAGTGAATTTATGTAAATGGTGTGAGAGGAGAAGAATTTCCTATATTTTATAGTTAAACGGCCTTCACCGATAGAGCGCGATTTGGAAGGGGATCAAAAAAGGAGAAAATGAAATTGTGTTTAATTATTATATTTTATTGAATATACCTAATTTCTTTATATTATCAAATCCTGAATTATGCAACAAATTAATCAACTCAAATCCAATATACCATTCTAAAAATTCCAATTTATTTTTGAATAATTCTCCCATAATTTTATGATCTTTAATATAATTTTTGTAGTCCCAATTACTATTTAAATGATCTTTTCCACAATTTTCTTTAGAAATTTCTTCAAATTTTTTATCTTCATTCCAATTAGCTTCAGTAAAAATTATGTCGGCACAATAATTTCTACGTTCATATTCAATAATTATAACTTTGAAAACTTGTGTTATTGGGGGATGCTTTACTTCATTATTGAACTTAAATAATAAATTATAAAAATGAGGAAAAGATCTTTTAATTAATTTTGATGACCGAATGTGGGTGTAATACTAAGATAATTAATTAAAGTTCTGCTCGTTGAGAAAATACAGGAATCGTTGATAAAATACATGAATCTTGACTACTAGAATGCAAAGTGATTGAACTTAAGAGGAGTTACACAATGAAGAAAAATATAGCGTGTTGGAAGACTCTTGTGCCGAACGGTAATCCTCGCCATTTAGATTTCTTGACCTAAACTAATTTTGTTAAAACCCCGCCCCTTTTAAGTTCTTTTCCGCTCGGATCTTTCTTTCCTAAACTTTAATTCATTCTCAATTCCTCTATATACTCACATCAATAACTTAATCAATTTAAAGGAAATTATAAAGGAAATTTTTCTGGTTTAATTTGTGTTTTATTTTTTGCAAGATAAATCGGGTAGGATAAGTACAACAGATTGCCATTCTGCACAACTCTCTTCTTGTCGGATGGTTCGACCACAAACCCTTTCAGTTCACTGATAAATAGATAATTCGACAAGTCAAAGTTCATAGGAAGCATGACAGCGAAAATTACTATGTTAAGATAATTAAATCCCTACCGGATAACTTTTTACACTTCCCTTCTGTTCAATTTTTTCTGAAACAAGTACTGATATTGGACCTGTGATTGTTATGATATTCTTCTTATTCCATTTAGCAACACATCTAAAAATGAATTTAAACATAAATAATGTCAACTAGAGTTATTTTATGAGTAAATCATAGCCGGAACAGTGAGATTTTCATCCAGAGAATGAATTAATCCGGAGTGTCACCTTATCAAGCTATTCTGTTCAGATTTAATAAAATAAACCTCGCATATTTATCAAGCAGTTCAAATGTCTTTAACATTTTTTTATCATCATAATGTCCAAACTCTTGATATTTTTCTTTTACTTTGCCTTCTTTTACTTTATTTTTATGTGAAACAATTTCTAAGATCCAATTTGCTTTTTCTGATAAGAAATTGATGCCCATCAAATACTTAAGAATTATAATTTGTATAAATATTAAGATTAATACAAAGAATTTTTAAAATCAAAATTTAAACTATGTACTATTTCAGGGCGGAATCAACTCTAAAGACACATGAAGTCAAATCATCGCTCTATGAGAAGTCTCGGCTTCTCATCGCTCTATATCTCGACTTCTCATCACTCTATGAGAAGTCTCAAAAGACGCCAAAAAAGCCATTACTGGAATTTAAAAGCTGAGCTTCACGCTCGTACAAAAATTCAATTGTATTCGTATCGCGATTTAATACGAAGCATGAGTGTGATCAGAAAATTAGAGCTGGGTCGGGTACAATGCTGAAATCAAGTGTAATATCTGGTCTTCCATACACCTCGAAATAAAGGGGGCTTCTCTATTGAGCTTATAAAAACTCACCCAACTTCGTATAATTCACATATGTATTTCCTATACTCTGCGGAGTTCACTCATGATTACGAAACGCTCGACTCTGCTTATAACCTCACTATGATAACCACAATTTCTCTACTTATACCCTCAGATTTTCTGCTTATACACGCAATTCCTAAACAAGGCACTTAGAAAAGGGACTAATCGGCTTGACTTTTAAGTTCAAATAATTTAAAGCATCAAGGATTCTAATAATTAT